GATTTTAATTGGTTTTTAAGCAATACCAAACAAGCTCTAATTCATGAAACGATTCTTAGTGTAGTTTCACAAATGATGTTCATGTAAATATTTATATTTGAAACAACATATTTTTTTTTTCTTTTCCATACTCAAGTTAATAGCACGCTGTATCTTCATCCATGCCCCAAATACAATGAATCAACCTATTGGAAGGGAATAAATGCATGAGTTGAAACTCAACAGAAATTATCGGCACATTTCGTTGTCATATTAGAATATTCAAACTATAAATTCATTCTGTGCACATAGATGGACTTATGACAAAATTCACTTTCTATATAATTATCATAACGCGTAGAGTAGGAGAATGATAATTCCAACTATAGTAGTGCCGAAACACTGCACCCGAAGGCCCCCACTTCGTTCATATTTTAATAAAAATTTATAAGTTAAAAATGAAATAAGCACTTACACTTCTACCCACCTTAGTTTGATGCTTTTGAGTGGATGAACTTGGTTGGTGAATTTTGTTTATTAGATGACACACTCTACGCATAAAAGAATTTACCTCTTTTTACATTTTTTCCCTAACTTTTGAAAACTTTTCTTGCTCAAAGATGAAATGAAGTGGTCACTAATTAAATTTTTCTCCTTGGTCCCTACAATTTATTTAATTAATAAAATAGGAACTAACATACAAATCCGTCTTACCTTAATTAAGTGAATTTTCATTTTTTAAAGAAATATGGATGATTGCTTGTTGAGCTTCCATGAGATTAAATTTATTGAAGGCATATCGGACTAGTAATGAGATTTCATTTTTTACGTAGGCTGAGACTAAGACTTCTCTATGGGTTAGGCTTGTGGTGCTAAATCATCATATTAAAAATATGAGCTTAATTTTTTTATTTTTCCAGTTTCTATATCCCTTATACCTTAAATAAATTGCGTTATTGAAATTTACCTTTTGGTTGAACAAAGAATTATAAAAAGCTGTAAAAATTATTATCTTTTACCGGAGCTTGGGTCCAACTATAATACGTAGGAGAAGTTAAAATTTTACGCGAACAAACATTTTGTATACAATTTATTTTGAAAAATGACTATGTAAATGTCAATGTACAAGCCATCTCTTCTTGTATTTGGTATTCTGCAACTTGTCATTTTTTCAAGCACATTAAATTGTCAAATATATTTTCTTTCAATCTACTTCTTTCGTTAGATAGAACCCTACCATGTGCACTAAACGTAGCCTCTGTAGCCTCCAATGCTACAATTCACATTTGAGGTGTCAATAGATCACGTACTATCAAAAAATAATATCAAATATTATTTTTCATTTGTTTATTACCACTCGAGAAGATCAATATTATTTGTCTCTTCTCGATTTAACATACTAAAAATATGGTATGATGAATTTCTTGTAGTAGTCGTCATTAAATAGGTCCATACATTATCGTTAGTGAATGATGAAACTGTTGAAAGCGATGGTGGTGGATATTCTTTCTAATACGTTTGGAAGCGTATTGTAGATATAAATTGCTCAAAGTACTTTCGACATCACAATGTGTAATTGGAATATTAAATCTTAAATGAGAAGAATTTTTTTTTTCGAGAATGCTTCACAATCCTAGAAATTAACATGAGGGTTTATAACCACATCTAAAAAAATAGCATGGCCAAGTGCTTTCAATATTTCTGGAATTTCTACCCATGGTAGCAATTATGTTACCCAAAATTGAATAATTTTTATATTTTCTTATTTTATTGTAATGTTAATAAAATGAGTTAGAGCAATAAGAGTGAAACAGTGGATGCCCACACACACCTTGGTGGATAGATAGAAGCAAAAGAAATAGCCTCTCTAATTTTTGTTAGTTGTAGTTCAATATACTTAAGGCCATCTTGTGCAACCAAATTAATAAATGACAAACATAATGCATGTAAAAAAGTTCTCATCAAAATTCAGATGGAGTTGGTTAATCAATTTTCATTACCATTAGTGTTAACATTAACATTATCAAAAAGTGAATATAAGAACTTCATCTTTGTAACAAAATTCTCCAAGTATGCCCATTAAAAGTTTGAAAATATTTTGTGCATTATGTAAAAATTCAATGACCTTAAAGCAACGATTTCTTTATGCATGATCCAAAACTTAACAATGTAATAGGTTGTCGAGCACACACACACACATGTGTATATATATATATATATATATATATGTGTGTGTGTGTGTGTGTGTGTTAAGCACCGATGACATAACGCAGTAGGAGAAGTTAAAATTTTACGCGAACAAACATTTTGTATACAATTTATTTTGAAAAATGACTATGTAAATGTCAATGTACAAGCCATCTCTTCTTGTATTTGGTATTCTGCAACTTGTCATTTTTTCAAGCACATTAAATTGTCAAATATATTTTCTTTCAATCTACTTCTTTCGTTAGATAGAACCCTACCATGTGCACTAAACGTAGCCTCTGTAGCCTCCAATGCTACAATTCACATTTGAGGTGTCAATAGATCACGTACTATCAAAAAATAATATCAAATATTATTTTTCATTTGTTTATTACCACTCAAGAAGATCGATATTATTTCTCTTCTCAATTTATCATACTAAAAATATGGTATGATGAATTTCTCGTAGTAGTCATCATTAAATAGGTCCATACATTATCGTCAGTGAATGATGAAACTATTGAAGGCGATGGTGGTGGATATTCTTTCTAACACGTTTGAAAGCGTACTGTAAATATAAATTGCTCAAAGTACTTTCGACATCACAATGTGTAATTGGAATATTAAATCTTAAATGAGAAGAATTTTTTTCGATAAAATACTTTACAATCCTATAAATTAACATGAGGGTTTATAACCACATCTAAAAAAAAAAAAAAAAAATAGCATGGCCAAGTCCTTTCAATATTTCTGGAATTTCTACCCACGGTAGCAATTATGTTACCCAAAAATGAATAATTTTTATATTTTCTTATTTTATTGTAATGTTAATAAAATGAGTTAGAGCAATAAGAGTGAAACAGTGGATGCCCACACACACATTGGTGGAGAGATAGAAGCAAAAGAAATAGCCTCTCTAATTTTTGTTAGTTGTAGTTCAATATACTTAAGGCCATCTTGTGCAACCAAATTAATAAATGACAAACATAATGCATGTGAAAAAGTTCGCATCAAAATTCAGATGGAGTTGGTTAATCAATTTTCATTACCATTAGTGTTAACATTAAAATTATCAAAAGGTGAATATCAGAACTTCATCTTCTTAACAAAATTCTCCAAGTATGCCCATTAAAAGTTTGAAAATATTTTGTGCATTATGTAAAAATTCAATGACCTTAAAGCAACGATTTCTTTATGCATGATCCAAAACTTAACAATGTAATCGGTTGTCGAGCACACACACACACACATGTATATATATATATGTTAAGCACCGATGACATAACACGCAATTTAATTGATGAATCATTAACTACTATCAAGAGGCCAATCGAACAAGGCATTATTCGTAATGCCGGTTGTATTGGATAGTGTCCATTTTTAGTTTCCAAGTGAAGTGCTCTGGACATTGCTTGCAATATGCTTTCATAATTTGCTCTGTATTCTCAATGTTATCCCCCTTTTTTTTTTTCATGAAGTGTTCAATATTCAGAAGTAGTCTCACGAGCTATTACCTCACTGTATTTCTTTATAGAAAGTGCTTCTTCCAAATATATGATTGAAAACAATATAATAACTGCCAAGCTAGCTCGCTCTTGTTTGTCCAGCTCGGCTCTCTCACTTAACATCACTGATCTAATGGCATAGATTTATATCACAAAAACTATTTAAAACATCAATATGGGTCCCACACCAAGTCCCTACAATGCCCCCCCCCCAACCCACACCCACAAAAAGACACCCAAAATCTGCCTACCCTGTCTCCCCTCCCCTCCCCACCCCCATCTGAGCAACGAAAAGGGACATTTTCAGTCTAATTAGTTTTGAAGTAACAATCTTCGCTGGCTGAGATCATAACTTAAGTGCATCATTGATGGTGAGCATTTAGGGTCGGATGTGGTAAGGGGTTGGGTGGGCCAATTTTGGGATTTTAAATAATTTTAATAAAATAAACTTGACCCACTAGATTAGTTTGACATGATTTTAATTATGCCAAAAAATATTTGTCAAAACTACTGGTATGAGGTACAAACCCATTGTCAAAAAGTTTTAGTTGTTGTCGAAGATATTGTAGTCACTTCGGTGCATGCGACATTAGTTTTCGAAAAGGTTCGGCACATGTACAATTATTTATTTTAATACACCTCATCTACAAGCTTAAAAGATTACACATTTTTTGTCTACAACATATATTCCACACACAATAAAATCCGAAAAACATATATATAGATTACACCCACGTTTGTCTAATGTTTATAAACAAGTTTACAATTGATCAAATCACTTTTTATCCACGCATTTCATGAACACATAAGAACTACCCACTTATCCACCATTAATTTAAAAATCTCCCAGACAGGCTTCTCATCTCCATTTACAAGAAAAAAATACCGAAAAAACTGAAAGGAAAACAACATTTCTATGTTACCGTTCGTGCCACTCCTCTTCCCGTCTCTCAAGAAAAAGAATTAGCCCTGCTTCAATTAAAGAAAAGAAATCGAAGTCGGAGATGGCTTCAGCAGGATCCATTCTTGTACTGACCGGGCGATGAAGTCAGCCCAACCTTTCGGGAAATAAAATAAATAGAATAATCTATATCTAAACCTTTGATTAGAAGAAACCGGGGCTAACTTCTCGCCTAATCCCTCTAGAAAGTTGCCCGAATCTACGCAAAAAATGATTATTCAAATTAAAAGAATATCGTTGAATAATTATTTTTTTCATTCTTTTTACGAAATTTCTTTCGATAGTTTCTCGTTTTTGGTTGTGAACCAGATGGGGAACAGAAACGAAGGAGCCCAGCCAAGAGGCTAATCAGCTGTGTAAAGGCTCAATTAGCAGTCAATAAAACACATCACTTATTCCTTTTAGCAACAATTTTGTGATAAAAATATACAACAAAGAAGTAGCACAAGTCACTTGAAACATTATAGTAAATGATAAGTTAATAACATCAGTCAGTTCTGAGATGATACATAATACTTGGATCAGGATCAAGCAGCTCCACAGTTTCACCAATTAATGCCAAGTTTTCTTGTGTTGAAGAGTTGATCAATATATATAATGACAGGGGTCGATGAGGCAATGTAGTTTTGCATTTGAATTCTTGCCGAGGCTTCTGAAATTGATGAAAATATAGATCTTAAAAATAAAGTATTAGAAAGAAGAATTATCTCTGAATATGCACTTCTATCCCATTCTATAATCCACATGATATGCAGACCAAATCTAACCCAAAAAACAATATGAAACCCGATGACAACTTAGAAGGGACGAACAAGCCCTCAAGACGTATCATCACTGGACGAATGCACAAAAAATGCAATTTATGCTGTTCGTTGAGGCATTAAGCTACATAAGCAAAAAACAGAGAAAATGTAAACTTACCATCTTCATTGAGTTTCTTCAGTAGCTGTGCCTTCGTTGGAAGGGCATACATTCCTGCACCTACAGCTGTCCTGATAGCCCAGCTGTGGTATGGAGCAAATACTTGTGCATAAGCTTTTGATGCTGGATCCTTCAATGAATTCCCCCTACCGAAAGAGTCATTTCAAGTCTTACATTGCCATTTATTGAGTATGCCAATTAAAGTGTATGCTTAAAAGGGATTGATAGCATATGTAAACAACATTTGCCATTGTATGAATTATGAAACTTCAAACCCACCCACTCCATAAAAATGAAAAGGAGAACAATTAACGAAAAAGTTTTTACAGTTCTCAACTTTCTGAAATCTTCAAAAAGAACTGAAAGATCTAATGATAGCCCACTAGAAAGAAGAAAACCATCAACTAATTTCAGTTGTCATTGGAATATTGCTTGCAATCAGGTGGTTTTACCTGTAATTTACTTATCTTGCTATATTTACTTACTGGACCTGTGATCCCTGTAATTCCAATGTAGCAATGCAAACACTTCCCTTGCTATAACTACTCAGGCTCCTCAGGTCTTAATTTGTTTCTCAAGAAATGAAATTAGCGTATAGATCCTCTGCAAATTAACATACTTTCTTCATGGTTCAGATTTCCACAAATTTTTATGCCCCAAACTCGCATGTGTAGACCTGGAAAACTCGAGCTTCTACTTAAACTATGTTAAAGTTTCCGTGTAAACACCCTTCAATATTGTTTTGACACTAGAATTCTCATGACTTCTCAGGTTTTAATTTGGTTCTGAAATAATGTTCTTATCCTACATATTGCACAAATTTAACGTACCAACAGTCTTCTTAGTTCCTATTTCCATACAATTTTATTTTCCAAACTCTCATATGAGACATGGAACCCCCAAACTATTTTAGAATTTCCATGTGAACTCCCATCAATAGGTAACCCAAATACTAACAAGATGTTTCAAAGATGATTCAACCCTTTCATTTTTATTTTTTTATTTTTTATTTTTTATTATTATTATTTTTTTTTTGCGTGAAGGGCAATATTAAACATTCCATCAAACAGATCAATTTCAAAACTGTGAGAATTCTTCTTATCAATTTCCCACGTGATTGATCCAGTTCACATACATAATATAATAAAAGCATTAGTGGAACAAATATCAACAATATGAACACCCAATGACCCAGTTATCAAGTTCAAAGGTTCCAGTGAACATACTCTGAAGCAAGAATTTGGGCAAACAAAACCCTGACCATGTCAAGCCCACGCTTCACTCTCAGAAGATTCCTCGTATGGCTCCCACCCGTCCTTACACAATTGGATTCAATATCCTTATCCATCATCACTTCTAGTGTTGAGATTGATTTAGATGCCTCTGCAAGATCACGCACCTGTTATCAACAAGAATTTCAGCAAGCTCGTTGGTAAGGTGTACTATGCACGACTATTACTAATGAAGAAAATGAAATCAAAATATTGTCCACAGTACTATCCATTCTTGTCACCAAACATTTCCTAAATTATTATATGTATAGTGTACTATGTTGCCTATCTAATACATATCTCCACGTCTTAATGGGTGGGAAGCACTATCGCAATCCTGCAGTATCCACGATTAGGAAGCCAAGTTGGTAAATACAAACTTAGGAAGGGTACATATGAATCCACAAATTCTCTTTTTTGTGCAAAGCAATACACTTCTAATAGAAAATAACACAAAGAAAATTTTTGAAGGTGCATCAACAAACACCAAAATACATATACAGAATAATTGAACCACTTATTATGAACAAATATCAATAAAATCTTTTCCATTTCCAAAAGTACATATACAAAAACAGATCCATGTAAACAAATATACGAATTTTCGACATCACAAACACACAGACATAAATAAACATATAGAGAAAAGTACAATTATCACTAATAAATTTGACCCCAAATTTAATAAAAAACATTTCGACTAATCATTAATAAAAACATGTATATTTGTTCAGAAAGCAAATAAAGCATAAATACTACATTACCCAAGTTCTAATTTTTATCATCATCATCAAAAGAGCTCGAATGAGTAATAAATAAACCTAAAAAAATAAAAAGAACTATAAATATTTTACTTTATCGTCATAATCGCGTTCGGCGAACTTGAAGGCTATGCCAAGGCAGCCAAACAGAGGGGATACGAGAGAACAAGCCAAAGAGAATTGACCCAATTCGATCCGGGGTTCTTCATCCCCATCTGGGCTTTGGGAATTTATCGCGTTGGCCAGTTCTTTAAAGGCCTCCGCAATTTTCCGCAGCGGTTTTCCTTCCTCCGCCATTGGAACTTAATTGGCTGGCGAAAGATGGAATGCGAAGATTGGAATCTGATGCAGCGCTTTGCTTTTAATGAGTTAGCCCTTGTTTGTCGCGCATCACATTCTATCACATTATTTTTTAACAATATTCATTTATAATCATATATTTTTCATTAAAATAATATTTCTTTTTTTTTTTAACCACACATTCTCCGTCAATTTACTATTTTACAATATATTTTCAAAAATTAAAGGGGTTCAAACACACCCTTATTTTATTTTATTTATTATTATAATTTATTTTATTTTATTTTTTTGGTGGATGCCTTTTAGAGTCTATTTGGGAGTGATTTTGAGAATTGATTTTTTGACCGTTAGAAGAAAAGTGGAGTCCACCTGTGAAAGAAGAAGTCAAATATAACAGCTGAAATAGTGAAATAACGATCAAAAAATCAATTTTTTGAATGAAAAAATAGCTCCCAAACAGACCCTTAGTAAGTGAGGTATCTATCCAAGTCATACATGCCAATTTTTTCTTTGACCAAATTTTTTTTGCAATTCATCACTAAAAGACAAAATTATATTGTTATACAATTAAGAATAAAGTATCGTTTAAAAAATTATTATACCCTTTTAAACTATAAAGAATTTCAAAGGCTTCCCACTTAAAATCTTAAAATCAAATCATTTTTTTTATTTATTTACTCCAATATAGACAGAAAGTATTTCATTTTTCATCTGGTTCAACCTTGAAATATCATAAATTTATCAAACGCTCAACTAAAAATTATTATTTCTACCCAGCACTTCGAATTGGTAAATATATCTACGTATTATAAATTTCATTTTTGTTGAATTAGTAACTTGTTTTTTACATAGGCAGATAAATTTTTACAATTTTAGGTAGATCTATAATTTTTTTTAAGCAAGATCGAAACAAATTCATCCGCACAGCTGGATTCGTTTGGCCTAGCCAGCTGGATCTGCCCTATCTAGTCGGCTATTTCCGGCCAATTGGATCTAACCGGCTAGGCCAATTGCCGATTCGAACTAATTTTGAAGTCCTTTTTTATCTCATACTTATATTTTTTTAACAAATTATGTTTTCTAATGCTTATATGGAATTAGCTGCATTTCTGGTTTGTTATTTTGGTGAATTTGAAATGAACGAAAATGATCGATGGATGTAGAAATAGATGAGTGAAAAACGTGGAGCTACTACAATTGTGATAAAATCGAGTACATCCTATGCAGAAATAATACCACGATTTATAGAACAAGTTCAACGTTGATCCCTCTCAGTACAACATGAAATTGTGATTTCTATTCAGTGAGAGTACGTCCATTTTAATTACACTTGTAATGGTTACTTCCGAAACTGAGATGAAGGTTTTAATTGAATTGAATTAAAATTGCACGACTTCTATTTACGTAACTTTAGTTAAAAAGAATGTCCCCGATAATGAACACAAAGATTTTAATAGAGGAGATTGTAATGTGAATGATTTTTGGAACACAATGGAAATAGTTCATGAGGATGATGTGGCTATTCCTTAGACAGTTGTGTCTCACCATGATCTCACTATTATGTATAGAATTTCCTCAATAGTTCAAAACAATGAGAATGAAAATGAATTTACAAATGAGGATTTGATGGCGTTATCCCGTCGGAGACAGGAATCGGGTGGGAACTCATAGGCTGGAATGAGTACACAGTCCTCTAATTATTCATGTATAATTCTCGATGATGAAGATTTGTATGTCGAGCAACCATTTTAAACAAAGAAAGATTTACAGGAAACTGTATACTAGATTGCTTTGAAACACTATTTTGAGTTTAAAGTAAAGAAATCAAACAAATCGACGTACATAGTTATCTGCATTGATGACAGTTGCCGTTGACATTTGCGAGTGACTAAGATGGACACGAATATGTTCTTTATAGTTTGTAAGTATGCACGGAAGCATACGTGCAAAGTTGGAATTCGTCGAAATGATTACAAGCAGGCTAGAGTATGGTTCATTGGTCGACGAATAATGCACAAGTCTCAGGACCCACAAACGATCTATAGACCTGCGAATCTCATTAATGACGTTCGTCGACAGTATGGGATGATCATGAACTATCAGAAGGTCTGGAAGGCTAAGAAATGCACATTGGAGGACTTAATAAGTTTGGTTGAGGACAGTTATGTTAAATTGGCCAGATTGCTAAAACATGAAGAGAACTATTCCTGGATCGACATTTTTTATTGAGACGTATGGCGAGAATTGCTTCAAGTATTTCTTCATGGTCCTTGGACAATGCAATCGAGGATTTCAAAACACAATGCGACCCCTAATTCTAGTCAACGACACAACCCTTAATCCTAGATATGAAGGCAAGTTGATTATTGCAACATGTCAAGATGATAATATCCAAATTTACCCTCTTGTATTCAACATATTCGACGGAGAGAATGATTTAGCGATGCTTGGTTCTTCATGAAGTCGAGTGAAATGATTGGGGACGTCAAGAATCTTACATTCGTAACTGATCATTGCATTGTTTAAGAGAGTTACTGAGACTTATAGTTTTAAAGAGTTTGATAAGTTCATAGTCGAAATAGAAAGTAAATCACATACTGCATGTGAGTATCTAACAGAGATGGGGATCAAACATTGGGCACAATCACATTTTCAGAATGTCGATACAACATGATGACGTCGAACAAATCGAAGTCGCTCAAGGTATTATTAAAGAAAGAATCGAAAGTTACAAATTCTCGCAATAATTGAGCACATTCGTAACAAGGTACAGCAGTAGTTTCATGATTGACATGAAGAATCATATAGTTGTACAAGTGTGCTAATCCCGGCTCAGAAATATAAACTTTTCATGACTTTGGAGGTGGCGAGAAAGGTATGTGTAGTGCCACTGGACTAGTTTCGCTTCTCCGTGAGATGTGGATGTAATATTGGATATATTGTGGACTTAAATAATGACACGTGCATGTGTAAACAGTTTCAGTTGGAAAGTTTTCCATATACACATATAGTGGTATTGGCTATGCATAGAGGATTTTCATAACACACATTATATAGTTATTATTACATGGCTGATTATTGGAGAGTATCTTATGCCGAAACGATATTTTCTGTACCAAATGAAGCCGAATGAGAAGTTCCTAACCACATTTTCTCACTTAATAATTTGTTGCCACCCGAAATCAGACCACGTACTCCTAAACGTAGATGTCGTCTAAAATACCATCTAATGGAGAATTTTCCCAACCTCACAAGTGCGGCATGTGCGTCACGACATGGCATACTCGTCGATTTTGTACAAATCAGATTCCTCTACATAGCAATTACTTGGAAGTGTAATGTAACATCCCAATGTTGTATTTACTATTTTCATATGAACATCTAAATTGACGTTGGTCATTTAGTGGAATAGTTCATTATTTAATATATATATATATATTTTTTTGTTCGAGCATTTGTCATTCCATGTTAAATTTAAATTCATAGATTGAAATCATGATATGTCAAGATTTTTATAAAAATTTGACGATGTATACAATTATCTTATGATTACTTTAAGTATTCAATGTTTAATATTTTAAGAATAATAGTGACAAAAGTTTGAATAATAGTAATTACTATATTTATTTTAATTGTTTATTTAATATTTATTTAAATATTTCATTAATTATTTTAATTGTTTACTTATATTATTTACTTAATGTTTAATTAATTAATTAATATTTTATTAATTATTTTTTAAAAAATTCAATGGACAATATTTATATAAATTTAACAATATTTACAATAATCTCATAATAGAAAAAATCAATGAATAACATTTACATATGCCCGTGTGCACCTCATCTAGCAAATTCTAGATGTGGCGTGGGTCGGTTCGGATCGATTTTAAAGAGAATTTACCCGAACTAAAATTTTTAAAAAATTTGGATTTAGAAATTGTTAATTTGTTTAGAAAAAATTTAAAAAAATTAGAAATATTCGGTTCTTGGTCTAGAACCAAAAATCGAACCGTACCCATCAGTTCTCAATTCAGATACCCGTTCGGATATTTAGTTTGGCAAGAACCATCGAATTCGATTCGGTTCGGAAGATTTGTCCAACCCTAGCAAATTCAATACCATCGTAAAGTTACGTTCTGTTTGACGACATTGTCCAAATGATATTCCATTCTAAAAAAATTCAAATGTTAGAACCTCGTGCAAGAGAAAATTAAACTAATTGAACCGTAACTACTATAAGCAAGAAGTAACAGATAATGGAATAAAGGAAATGAACGTAAACAAATATTATACATTTTAATTACTTATTTCAATCGTCTATTTATATTTTATATAAATATTTGATTAATCATTTTAATTGTTCATGTATATTATCTATTTAATCTTGAATTTGATATTTATTTTATTTTATTTCAATTACTTATTTTAATTCATTATTTAAATATTTCAGGAATTATTTAATGTACGTATACTGTTTATTTAAATACTTCACGCATTCATAGTTTGAAATCATAATATGCTAAGATTTTTATATAAATTTGACAATATTTACAGTTATCTTAAAATTAATTTAAGTATTCAATATATAATGTTTAAGAATAATAGTGACAAAAGTTTGAATAATAGTAACTACTATATTTAGTGTAATTAATTATTTAATATATAATTCAATTTTTATTTAAATATTTCATTAATTATTTTAATTGTTTACTTATATTATTTACTTAATGTTTAATTAGTTATTTAATATTTCATTAATCATTTTTAAAAATTTCAATGTATAATATTTACATAAACTTGACAATATTTTCAATTGTCTTGTAATTAAAAAAATCAACGTATTACTTTTACATAAATTTGACAATATTTACAATTATCTTATAATAAAAAAATCAACGAATAATATTTACATATGCCCGCGTTCTCCTCATCTAGCAAATCCAATACCATCATAAAGTTGGCAAAGTTATGTTTTGTTTGACGACATCGTCCAAATGATATTCCATCATAAGAACTTTCAGATGTTAGAATCTCGTGCAAAAGAAAACCAAATTAACCAAACTGTAACTAGTATAAGCAAGAAGCAATAGATAATGG